GGGGAAGGAGAGAATCTCATTGGTTGTTTCAAAAATGACATGGAATCAAAAAATAAAAAATAAAGACAAATTTTAGACTATGTTTTAGTATATATATATATATATACTATGACATTTCTGCCATAAACATAAACCCAAATATTTCATGTTTTTACCCAATTTTCTAATTCCTCGTTGATTGAGTTCTCGCAAGGCAACTTAAACTAAGTGTTCATTTGACCCCCCCCCCCCAACAAAAAAACTAAGGTGGCGTTTGATAAATCTGAAAATTCAGATCTGAAAGGTTAAAAAGATATTAAATGTGTCTGAAATCTGAAAAGAGGTATAGTTGCTTTTTTACTTTTTAGAATATCTGAATCCATGAGTTTGTTTGTGTTGGATCAACCTTTTACCATCTGAAATCATTGATTTTACTATTTTACCCCTAAAATATATAATTTGAAATTGTTGAATTCAATTTACATTATCTCATAAAAAATAATTTTCAACCTCAAAATAATATTGAAACAATATAAATAAAAAATAATAAATTAATAATTACTAATTAATAAATGAAATAATTAAAATTAAAAAACAAATAATGATTATAAAAATAATTAATAATTAATAATTTACACAAATAAAATTTAAAATATATTTTTAAAATTAATGAAATAATTAAAATTTATTAGGTAATAGAAATAATTAATAAATAACATAAGTAAATTTAATAAAAAAATAATAATTGTTTAATAAAAAATATTAAAATAATTAATAAAAATATTTTATAATTAATAATTAATAAAAACATTATTATTATTCACCGAAGTATCAAACCACCACTACTGCTTGTTGCAGCGGCGATGGCGGTGGTGGGAAGACAGGGGATGGAGAGAGAGAGAGAGAGGGAGAGAGAAAAGACAGGAGGAGAGAGCGAGACCGGGAGAGAGCCACCGCTGGGGGGAGAGAGAGAAGATAGTGGCGACGGTAGTGGTGGGAATATAGGGGAGAGAGAAAGAGAGAGAGTGAGCGATAGAAGACAGGAAAGGAGAGAGAGAGGGAGAGAGAGAGAGAGAGGGAAAGAGAGAGGGAGAGAGAGAGAGAGAGAGAGGTTAGAGATAGTCAGAGAGAGATAGAGATAAGTTTAATGTTTTGGTTTTCTGGGTTTTGGGGTATCAAGGGTAACTCGAGTCATTTACGAAGAATTGTAAGGATATTTTGGACATTGGGTCGACTCTGAAACACGTTTGAATGCATTAAGAGCCAGCCCAAGGTCAGTGATTTTCATATCTGAAAATTAGTTTCAGACCCAGTTTAAGAGGTACAACCAAACAAGGGGTGAGGTATGAAAAGTAGCACTTTCAAATTCAGACCTCTAAAAGGAACAATGAAATGGTACCTAAGTGTTAATGGCTTCACATGAATAGGTTATCTACTCTCCTTCCTCCCTCTAGTTTGTTTATTATTTTGTTTTTTAGTTTTCCTTTTTTTTTCTCGTGTCTTTCTTCTTCTTCTCTTTCTCCTCCTCCTCTTACGTTTATTTCCTTCAATAGGAACTTGGAGAGGTATAAGGTTTGAAGGACAAAGGAGTCTCATTTTCTATAGTCATCTAGACCATAAAAGACCATTCATTGTTTTTGATTATTGAACAATCCCAGTTTTCTTTCTTATCGGTTCATCTTGTTCTTCTTTTGTTTCTTTTGGCTACATTTTCGGATGGATCTTGTGATTAGATGAATCAATTTATAGTTTGGATTTTGGGATGGATGTATGATAATGGATTTTTCTGGTCTCTTTTTTTTGCATATTTTTGTGATTAACGACAAATATTCTTACATTTTTTTGGTAATCAAAATATTCTTACATGTTACATCTTGGTTGATACAAACTTATACAATACACTTGGGCCACATTTGGTTGTACTAAAAAGTAAGTGCTCATTCGGAACACTGTGTTAATTTGGGTAAGGACCACACCATTAAGCACTTATTAGTGTTTGGGAAAGAAGCCCGAAACAACTGCTTATTTTAAAAACAAGGGCTTATTTGTTAAGCCCATATTTCCACATTTTTGAATGCTTATACAATAAGCACTTATTCAATTTTTTTCTTCCAAAATTATCCCTAGTTGAAATTTATAAAAGTACATTTGTAAAAGTGGTTTCATAAAGTACTTTTAGAAAAATGCTTTTGTTAAAGTGATTTACTAAAAGTACTTTGTATAACTTTCATAAAAACACTTTCGTAAAGTTTTTATAAAAGTAATTTAAGAAAAGTACTTTCACAATGGTATATTTTGAAAAATTGAAAGAAGATGAATGACAAAATAGTCATACGTGCTTATTGAAGAAAAAGACTATCAAACACGCAATATGAAATAAATTATTATTTTTTTAAATAAGCACTTAAAAAAGTTAGGTGCCAAATGCAAATAAGTGCTTATTCAAATAAGCACATGTTTTTAACCACTTATTCAATAAACATTTGTTTTCAACATAAACACTCCCAAACATGGTCTTGTATGCTTTGTTTTATGGTGAGATATTCCCAATGCAAGGTTGCAAGGGACTATGTGAACATAGTGAGCATGGTCTTGGGAGCATAGAAGTCAATTTCTTGTTGGCCATGGCCTTGTAGGATTTGTCAATTTAGTTTGGACTGGAAGTTAGGAATGGTAACAGGGCGAGATGGAGGCGGGGAGCCTCTCCCCATCCTTGCGAGGATCCCCATTCCCTGTGATTTTTTATAATGTCAACTATTTTGTTTTTGCTTTTTATTTTATTAAAAAGTAAAATAATTAAAAATTAGAATCATATTAGAAAATATTCAAATATATCTAATTATATTTTTAAAAATATTAATACATAGACACATGTATAGATACATACATATATAAAACATATGTGTATATATACGTATATTAGTGGGGATCGAAGTTCCCGTGGGGGTGGAAAGTACTCTCCTCATCCCCGCCTTATTCACGACTGATCCCCACTAGAAGTAAGTTGTTATTTCTCTAGGTTTGCATGGACCACTTGCATGCTCATGCTACCTTCAAGGCTCTATTAGAACTTAGAGGAATGCCACAACCAAAGAGCACTCATAACCGGTGATGAGAGTGTGTTTACAATATTTAAGGTATGTCTGGTTTGAGGGAATAGGACCTGTAATCGGAATTGGAATGGGACATTCCGTTTCCAGATGTTTGGTCGACCAGAATGGGAAGGAGTAGGTGGAATGCCAGGGGAATGACCATTCCTGACCCCCTCCTCCGAAATGCGATTCCCATTCCACTATTTAGTTTCCTTTTTTCTTTTTGGACAAAAAACCCCTACAACCCAACCTACGATTGAGTTGTTGTGAAAATGAAGAATCCCTCCAATCTCCATACTATTCGTTGCCGTTGCCGCCATCAACCCCATCTCTGGTGAGGTAAGACCATTATCAACCGTCACTCTCATCCTCCTCCTCCTTCTTTCTCCAAATCAGCTACCACTCTTCTTGCTCCTCCTCATATGGCTTTCTTGGCCTAATAGAGTCTGAACCCACTATCTCTGCCAATAATTGAATTAACGGCATTGATTTATGTCGTTGCTTTGCTTCTGATCTGCTCCCCTCTGCAACTCCAACTCTTCTACTCGAGCTTTTGTTATTGTTTGCGTCGTCTCCCTTCCCATTCCAAAAAGATGCAATGCAGCATAGGTATTAGAAGAAATGTATACTAGAGAGAGAGAGGCTGTATACAATGAGCGTGCTTTATATGTCAATGTGTTACGAGGGAAAGCTTGCTCTTCTAAGAAGGCTATTTTCGTCATTTTGGCTATTATCTCTGGTCCCTGTCTACTGCGTACACAAACAATACATACGGTACTCTATGATCTCTCTCATTCTCTCTCTAAACCCCTTTGATTCTCCTGGGTTTTTTCGTTCGTACATAGCGCCTCTCTCCCTCTCTCCCTCTCTTCATTACTTCAATATCCACCTCAACTCCCCTTTTCTTATTTTTTTAGTGAGATTGCCCCACTCAAATCCCCATGGTCTTATACATGCATCCCGAGCTTCCCCCAAAGTGGGCCTATGTTCTACTCGTTTCATCCACTTTTAGAAGATCAGAAAAAGTAGAGATAATAGAAATTGTTGTATTTTTCCTAAAAAAATTCTATATTTTTTTTTGCAATTTCTGTAAATTTTGAGTATTTTCATGCATTTTTTAATTTTCTATAAAATTATTGTAATTTCTTAATTTTCTTGTAAAAATTTTCCAATTTTTGATATTTTCATGCATTTTCTATTTTTATTTTTATTTTTATTTTTATTAATGACAAAATTAGAAATCATGATTGATTCTGATTCCAGCTTCTTCATGAACCAAACAATGAATCCAGTTTTAATTCCTGTCTGAATCAAACACGTAGGGGGAATAAACCATTCCGATTCCAATCACAAACCAAACAGACCCTTAATTCCTAACTATGAAACCATTCAATGGGTTGATGAATTGGAATTAGCTGTTCATATGATCACTCATAGCTCCATGACGATAAAAGCAATCGATTCACCCCCCGATGTTTTTAGCAGGGAAAATGCTTAATTGGCTCCTACCAGACATGAGTTCCCTTCTTAACTCAGTAATAAAAATATAAATGTACAATACAAATACATACAAAATGTAAGGTTTTGTATTTGTACTCCTCCTTTCCACCGATTTGCATTTCTGCGCACATAGAATTGAAAATCCCTCGCCCTCGGTTAGACGTGGAGCAAAAGAATTCCATGAGGATAATAGGCGTACTCATTGACGGTTTCTGCCTGTTATATTAATCAACCCAGAAATCCGAATCAGGTCCCACACCAAATCATAAGCATCTTCGACGACGACAACCTCACCGAGCATCTTTCGATTGGAATCTATGCATGGAGCCATAACAGATCGATTTCCAATTGAAGGCTGTTTCGGTTGTCCTCACATAAGAGCTGGCGTACCTAATCATTTGTTTTTTCACTTTATGCACAACAGTCCAAAACTACTCTGCAAAAAGTGCAGAAAGTGCATACTTCCCTTCTCTGTCTGTGAGAAATCTAGCTCCACCAGCTTCTAGTTAACGGTAGCACCGCGCCACCACCATCGTCGTCGTCACCGCTACAACCGCCTATGGCTGCCACAGACGGAAACATCCTTCAAACGCCGATATTAGATGCCGAGAGATCAAATCTACTCCAGAGAATCTCTGACCAGGGCGGTTATGCATATGTTACTGTGGCTACGCTGGGTGCTGCCGGTGACTTCCGAGCGGCGGAGGCAGCGCGGGAGATGGCATGGGAGCAGCTCCACTCGGGTCCGTGGCACTCTGTGTTGCCTGTGTGGAGGGACGCCTATTCGATGGCTTGTCTCCACGTCGCGGCGTTCCACCTCGGCGCCGGAGATTTCCGGGAGGCACTTAGGGTTCTTGACATGGGCTTGATCATGGGAGGAAGCCTTCTGCGTCAGGATTTGGACGCGGCTGTGGAGAAGATTATGACGAAGTCCAGTGTTGCTAAGAGTCAGAAAGGAGCAACAAAAGAAGGTGGGAAAAAGGAGCTTGTTCTAAGTTGCGAGGGTCCAAACAAGGCGGAGGTGAGGTCCGTTCAGCTTTCTCTGTCCTCCTTTCGATTTCCACCTTCTTAATATCAGTTTTTTAATTCATCATTTTAATTAATGCTTTATTATTGTTGGAAATACCTGCTTTCCTTTTTCCCGAGTGAAGTTTCTTCTTCTTTTATTTCTTTTTTTTCCAAATTAAAGGAATGAAATGGATTCTAACTTACAAGTTCCTGACCCTCCAGCGAATTTCTGATAGGTGAATGAAACCATCTTCTCTCTCAATGAAGAAGGGAGATTAATTCTTTCGTGAAATCATTGAACTGCTTAAATCCATTCATCTACCTATGCACTTTACAATAGGAACTAAGGTCATTCCCGTGTTTCTAAACGAAAATCAACATAAACCCCTAAAAAAATGCTATTTTGTTAGTTAATCAGTGGAACCACATTTATCTACTGCAAAACATCCCCCACTCCCAAAAGAAAGAAAGAAAAGAAATGGCAAAGTGGTAAAATAGGCTAGAGTTGTTCTTATCTACCCCTCTTACCTATTATCATCATTATCCAAGCCTTATCTGAACTATTTGTGTTGGCTACGTGGATCCTGTACTGCCAGCCCACTCTATTTCTAATTTTCTAGGGTGATAAGATGGGCAAGGCCCGCGAAAAAAAAACATAGAGTGCCATTACCTTGCCGAGTCAGATTAACATTTATGAAAAGGACTTTGCTTCACATTCTATGGCCTTGCCTTCTTTTAAAGCATGGATGTAATTTTTTCACACTACATCTACAGACACTTTTATATTGATAAAAAAAGATAAACTGACACTTTTCTGACCTTTTTTTGTCCTTAGCCTACAACTTGCACCAGAAAATTCTTTTTTTTTTTTTTTGTTGTGTCATCACGTAGCCCGGTTGCACATATCAAAGCAGTGATACCTTGGTATGTCGTGTGGGTAGCAGGTATTTAAATGTGCACTAGTGGCCAGCGCATCAACCTCAATAAATCATGGTATGGAACAGTACCATAAATAAATAGCACCCTATTCAGCTTAATTCAACAGAGTCTTATCCGATTATCCAAACTATAAGGGGTTGGCAACACAATCCTGCAAAGGTCATGTTCATTGTTAAATTGTGAGCCTCAAATAATTTCTTACCACTTCAGCCCATGCTATTTTTGACCCCATCTGATCTGGTTAAGATCTGAGTCCAAATAATATATATGTAGCATAATCATGTTTGTATATAGATATTATACATAAATTCTATAAGGTTTATAACTAATAAGTTCAATATATCTATTTATATAAATATAATATATATGTATAAGTTAAAAAGTAAATTTTTAAAAAAATTCTTTGTTTTAATACTATAACCTGAATTTGATCTGAGTCAGATATATTTGATTTTGGATTGGACTTGAATTTGATCTGATTTGAAGTTTCAACATATCTGAGTCTGATATGTTGGATCCAACCCATTTACGGCCCTATTGACATCATGTCAAGAGTTTGGGATGAAAGGTGCTCGCTATGCACTAAATATTCAAATAGAGATGTGCCTATTATAGTTATTACAAAATATTTTTGCCGCATTTGTTTTTCTTTTATTACTTCCAGTTTATGTTCACTTATTAGGTAACTTGAATACTGCCTCCCTATAATGTCTCATATTCTTGTTATTTTCTTATATCCTGCATTTCGACCTATTGGTTATGACTTATTGAAGTATCTGTTATTTCCTTATGGTAACCTGTTATTTCTTTATAGTATTTTTAGTGTCTCTAATATTTTTTCCCATTTTGATTAGGTGCTTCAAATTCTGCCAACAAAGTCTCTTTCTTGTAAGATAGTTGAGAAGAGGTCTTCTTTATCTTTGGAGGGATTCCTTTGTGATTATTTCCTATCAGGTTCTCCGGTTATAATCAGAGACTGCATGGGTCATTGGCCTGCCAGGACAAATTGGAAAGAAATGGATTATCTCAGAAGAGTTGCAGGTGATCGGACAGTTCCAGTTGAGGTGATTAATATCCCTTAATTTTATTACTTTATTATCTTGAGCAAAACATCCCTAATTTGTTGCTTGAGAGGAGAATTGTTAACCATTTCCAAATACATATGTTGATCAGCTTACTTCTATGCCTTGGATTTCTTCTTGTGGTCCTAAAGAATGTAAACCTGCTCTTTATAGTTCCTTCTGTAGGCATATTGGTAGAAAGGACCAGTTTTCTTTTTGCTCACTGTAAAAGACATTGGGTATTCCACATCTATGTCATTTGGGGCAGAGCTAAAACGTCATGATATATTGTATTTGTCTGGTGAACTAGTTAGCTTATATAAATGCTTCCTGATTTCATTTCGTGCATTCCTAAATACAAGTTTGAGCTAGGGGCTCTTCTAGGTGACATGTGACCCTGGGCCTATGTTACTCTGCTGGATGAGTCAATGGGGTCTCAGGGGTTTCATTGTGAATGCTGAATGAAAGGGTCAACGAGCCTCTTGGTTAATGTGAATCTAGCTCACCTGCTTCTTAGAAGTAATGATGGGTAAAGGTGTGTGGCATGTCTTGTTCTGGCTCTAACCTCTTCTGTTGGAGCTAGATCATGGACCGAGTTATAAACACTCCAATGTTTTTGTCCAACATATTCTCGCACTGATTAACCTGTTTGGGAGGTCTGTAAATTCTTCTTCTCTTCTGCAGTGGAGCAGATTTATCTTCTCTGTATGTGTATATTCCCTAATACTTCAGCTGCCTTATTCCTCTCTCCAGTAGCGCAATGGTGAAAAATATTTGTGGACTTGGTTTTTGATAGCTATTAGAGTCACTACTCCTACCTATACCATGCATCATCCTTGCAACCACTTATCTCATCAGTAGAATCACCACTTATTTTTTGTTATATTTTTGGCCTTATCTTACCATGTAGTTACTTTGTTCCGGTAGACCTATTGCATTTTAATTTCTAAAACAACAAAGCTGAAACCTGGCATTTGGATAATCTGCCATAATTTGATGCTTCTCTGTTCCTTTTCTTTTTTCCTACTTTGTTGTCATCTCTCTCTCTCTCTTGCTGTTATAAAACCTTATTCTTATATGATTTCAAAGAAATTTGATTCTCAAAATGACTTGAACTGAAGTTTGGTAAAGTTGAAAATATTTTGCAGGTAGGAAAGAACTATCTGTGCTCAGAGTGGAAACAAGAACTAATTACTTTTTCCGAGTTTCTTGAAAGGATCCAATCTAGTGAATGTCCCTTTGATGTCCCAACATATCTTGCTCAACATCCATTGTTTGATCAGGTATTTGTCCTTACTATGGATGATTTCTGGTGTGAAGCTACTCCAATCACTATATTTGCAAAATAAAAGATAACTTTGAAAGGTGATATCTTGATAGAGCCAATTGATTTTGCATCATGTAAGTTAAAAGGAAGTAAGTTTAGGAAATGGAGGGTTAAAATTAACGTAAGAAGCAAGTATGCAGTTAGTTATTTTATGGTCAACAGTTGGTAGTTGATGAGGAATGGATGGGTTGATTGCTAATTGGTGTATTAAAGGTACCAATTGTGGATACAGTGCCATTTTGGTTTATTGGATACAGTTGTAATTGGCTGGAGATTAGATGCAGATTTCTAAATTTTCTAACTTCCAACAGTTTATGAAATCTTTGAAGTTAATGGAAAATGCTTTACGTATTTGTTAGGCTTTTAATTTTAAATGTTTTAAGCTTGAAAGAGTCTTAGGGACTGTTTGATAACAACTGAAATGGCTGAACTGAAAAGCTTATTGCTTCGTCTTTTAGTGAATAAGATTTTAAGGTTAGTGGTTCCTTAATGACTGAAGCTGAAGTTGGGTAGGTTACTGATGGAGCGCAATCCGGCTGGTCCTAGCTGTCAACGATTTTGCCTTTGGGCGGAGATACGGGGAACCTGAAACGGAGAAGATGAGGAAGCTCCGGGGGGAACCTGGTATGAATGCTCCGAAGCTCAAGTTAGAATTCTCTCAAAGGCAGGACAAAACCAGATGGCACAACGTTTACCTTACCTTGTCCTCGGGGGTGGGGAGCCTTTTATAACCACCTCGCGCACTCACTTCTAAGCTTCTATCAGGTCGGGTATGATTACCCCTGGGCCCCTGTCAGTTCGGGTGTCATCCCCTCTGCTGGACAGAACCGCCACTGCTCTCTTTGTCGGAGACGTCTCTACGACTGGCGATGACGGTGGCAGGTGGCGGTGGCAGGTGGCCGTTGACGTGCGGCTGTCAAGCGTCAGATCCCAAGTCAGTCAGGTGCGCCGCCCTTGGATAYGGACTTCCTCAGTGTCAGGTATGGTACGTTTGTTCAGCTCGGCGTCCTGGAGGTGAAGTGCCGGAGTGGTGAGCGAGGTGAAGTCTTGAGTTCGGATAGGGGAGTGTCGAACTGCCATGAGGCGGGCCAGTTCGGGTCACTGCCTTGTGGGAGGCTCGGGGCCTAAGGGAAAGTTCGGGCTCCTAGTAGGGAGTTCGGACTGCTGGTTCCTCCCTTTGGTGCTCGCGCCTTGGGCGCGCTGCTGTGCCGAGCTGTTCGTCTTTGACACGTGGAGTGATTACGAGGTCGGGCCAAATCTTCCTTCATCAGTTACCATACCCTTGAATATTTTATTATTTTATCCACTAAATGACAAAGCAACAAGTCATTTAGTTCAGTAACTTCAGCTGTTATCAAATGGCCCCTTAGGGTTTGTTCAATAAATTCTCTAACAGTTACTCATAAAAAGAATCTTAGGGTTTGTTTGGATAAACTTTAGGAAGTGCTATGCTGAAGATAATAGAAGACAAAAGACAATTTATCTAAAAAAAAAAGATAACAAAAGACAAAGAAAAAAAGAATTCTGGGTTTGTGGTCAGGCATCAAATGAAAAGTACATTCAAAGTTTAGATAAGCAAAGCTCTTTCCTGAGCTTCTTTATGGAGCATAAGAATGTTGCTTTTTTGATAAGAACGTGTCATTATGCTCTTCTCACTGTCTTGGGGTTGATGTGCAAGGTTTTCAAGAAAAAAATTTGCTCTATTTTGCCGTTGACTAAAGGGAGAAAAGGGAAAAAGCTTATCCAAATGACCCATTAAATTAGTAATTTCAACTTGGGGTTGGATACAACTCAATCTTTGTATTTAGAGAAAGTGACTCTCTTAGTTAGGTCCTATTTCATCAAAAGGATTGGTGAAGCTCTGTTCAGCTACTTACTTTCTCTTTATTTTATGTTGACCTTAAATTCATTTTTTCTCTCATATTTGTCCTTTTGCTTCTCCCCAGATTTCTCTTTGGAGTTTATTAGGCAATGTCTTAATTCTTTATGTTACAAAATTGGCAGATACAAGAGCTGCGGAGAGACATTTTTGTCCCTGACTATTGTTTTGCTGGTGGAGGAGAGCTCAGGTCTCTTAATGCTTGGTTTGGACCAGCTGGGACGGTGACACCATTGCACCATGACCCTCACCATAATATTCTTGCTCAGGTTTACTGGTCTTATTGTTATACATTGGATAAATATGAAGATTTATTAGGGTGTTTTTCCTCCTTCAGCCCTGTTTTCCTTTTCGGTATTTTATGTCTACTCTTGTTTTTGAAATTTATGAGTCATGACTATTTTAGCTTTTGAAACTTCTATGCTGCAATTGTCCTTTTCAGAAAATCCTGCTTCCAACAGTTCTCCATGTATAATTGAGAAGAAATGTTTCCCCATGTGAGGAATCCTATCGTTTGTCAATGTCTCAATGACTTGCATGTACATCAAGAAGTACAGTTATTATTGATGCTGCATGGCTAGATATAAGGAATAAAGGTCAAACATGGAATAGTGGCCAATAAGATGTAGCAATTCTTTGGAAAAGGACAGAATTCTGTTACAGTATCTACTTTTAGGAGGTATTTTTGGGATGATCTGGAAATTGTGTATAATACTGGATAGTCATTTCAGACTTTGTGAACTGGGGAATCTTTTCTACAAAATGTCAGGTCATTACCCAATCTTGGGAGGAGGGGTGGAGTGCATTCAGACCTAACCATTGACATTTTTCTACAAAATGTCAGGTCATTACCCTATCTTGGGAGGAGGGGTGGAGTGCATTCAGACCTAACCATTGGCATTTTTTGCACAAAGCCTTGTCCAAATACCAATGCCTTCTTTACTTATTCTTTTTGTTCTTAATAGGAAATGCCTTCAAGATGGTAACCAAACTTGTTCCCTACTTGTATTGAAGAAGAAAATGCATTTTTACAATTAACCAATTGCAAATGAAGTGCCGACATTTCTACTTATATATTTTGCATTTGGTTTGTTACAATGAATTTGCTTAAGTTAGTTTGGGATTTCCAACATTGTTGATTGTGCAATTGTAAGGGTCATGTGCTTGTTTCTGGCCTTAGCATGGAGCTAGGAACAATAACTTGTTTTTATGTGCACCCAGAAACCAGATTTGGACCAATAAAACAAAATAACTGGGTGGACTTATGTTTACTTTGGCAGCTAGTTTTTATGTTGGTGGGAAATAATATGAGATCCCATGTTCCCTCTCTTTTTCTTAATGAATTCTGGTTAAACTCTCTCAAAAAATAATATGAGAAGCAGAATGGTGAGACAAACGGTTTTCTAAAATTTTGTAGTCATGGTCCTGATAAAGAGCAACAGAGTGAAATTGAGAAACATGGAATGTGCTAGGAGAAATATATACAAATGAGCAAGAGGGGGCAGCATTTTCACTTCATTGCAGTGAGGATAGGTTGTTGGGTACTCATAAAGAGAGGAGTTTAAATGTGTGTTGTTGGACTCTATATTTGGTCTTCAGTGGCTAGCTTTTACCCAGGAAGACATCAGGTGGATGCAGTGTGAATAGTGCCAGAAATGGGAATAACAAAACCTAACTATGGTGGATGTTGTCTTGGTAATTTGGGCTTGTCAGGTGTAAGGGTGGAGTATCTAGGGATCGTTTCGGCAACATTATCCCAAACTTTTAAGGGCCAGATGAGGAAGGAAATCTCTTGTGATCTGAACTTTTTTCTCTAGTTCAATGATTAGCCTATTCATCAGGATGGAATTAACTGATAATAGAGGACTGGCAAGAAGTGGTTGGTTGGGTTTTAACAAGATCACGTTTGCTGATGCCTTGTAAATAGAAGTGCAACAAGGGAGAATCTGTTGTTGGGGGCATAGAGGGGTCAGTTTGTAAGGGTGATTTTATATTTTTAATGAGTTGTTGGCCTATAATTATCGTATTTGTTCTCTCTCTCTCTCTCTCTCTCTCTTACCTCTCTGAAGTAAGGGGTTGTTGATAAATTAATAAGTCCTTGGGTTGATGATAAAAAACATCATTTTTTATATTTGTAAGGGTGATTTTTCTACGTAAGCTAGTTGAGTTGCTCTTTAATACTTCAACATCTCGCAGAAAGAAGCTAATTTACTGTCAAAAATTATCCCAGACTAGTGCAACTTTAAATGCTTTATTTATTTATTTTGCTTCTTGCATCTGGTTATTGCATGTTGCAGAAGCTGGCATTACAAGTATACTCTGGAACATCTAATGGAGGAGTTTTGAACTGTGCTTCTATTTTTCTTCATGTGTAAACATACCCTAGAAGAGTTAATTCTCATTGCTCATGTCATGGTGTTATGGCAAGCAAGTAACTGGGAAATCTGAGACCGGGTAGCTGGTCTCTCATGGGTACATTGTTAACCTCAAATTGTGCAGTCAATGGTCTAACAAAGCCCTAAGATGCATGTGAAGCCCATTGGTTGATCACCACAATGTAGGATTATATTATTCAGTCAAGAGAGCTGTGTCTGTTGGGCATCAAGTTTAGTTGTATCAGACGTGTTTTCCAGTTACCTAATTTTTAGTCCTACTCCAGAACTATGGGGATATATGAGATATTCTTTAAGCTATAATTCTTACCATTTGAAAGTTGAAACATGTTCTCTTTGAATAGAAAATTATTGGACGACATACTCTTGCTTGAAATAATTCTTTTTCTTTTTTCCTTTAAAGACTTCCACATTCATTTTGTTTCTGCATGTTTCTGGTGTTTTCATCCCTTTAGTGGTGGTAGGATTCCATTTAAAGGGAACAACACCCTTCCCTATTATCTCCAAAAGGATTAGTGACAGTATACCTTTTTTATCCATTTTTCTGGAGAAGGTTTCATTCCTCACCCCACTTCCTGTACTAGTCATAAAGCCGAGATATTGTTTCCTTTGAGCCCTATAGTCTAATTGTTAATCCTAACAATAGCCTTAAAGCCAGTTGTACTTTGCCCTACAATTTGTCCAAGAAAGCTTTTATTCTGAAATTACTGCCGAACCTAAAACATCACCCAAGTTTTAAAACCATCCGCATTCATGTTTTAAGTCAATACACCCAATGGATTAACTTCCCAATATTTTTTTGGAGGTTTCACTGGTTGTTTAATCAATGGGTCATGTGCCATCTGCATAAACTCAAGTCTTTTAACTGATATGATCTTATTTATTTTGTAGGCACAGGAAGTCAAGAAGAGTGGAGAAACTTCTTACAGTTTGTCTTACCTCCCAAAAAATTTTAAGATTCTGGTCCCTGCAGCTGCATAGAAAGAAAGCCCTGTCTGGTGTACCAACCATAACAAGGCACAACCACCAATATATGAAGTCAATTACAGAATAAAATAGTTATGTGTGTGTATTGTCTGATGTGAATCTTCTTATTAATTTTAGGTATTTGAAGAATGAGGATGAAAAACTCGATTCTGCGAGTTCTGCAATTTACATGCTCCTTCTCATTGGCATTGGCAAAAGAGAAGAGGGGAGTTGTCTTGCTGCAAGTAGGGTTGGATAAATATCTGAACCATATACGTTATCATATACCATATTCTCTGTTAAAGAAAGCACTGGATCTTGGAAACATAGGTGCTTAATAAGAGAGATTGCACAGCTCTTTACAATCTTGGTAGCAAGTTTATTACTGCACTCCTAAGGCCTGCCAAAAGTATGGTGGATGGGTTGGCAAGATTAGGACTTAATAGAATTCAACCATACTGGGGAATGATTCCCTAAAGAGATACTTGGTAAAGAAAATCAAGTGACTATTGGGGGCTAGGTCATCTGTTGGGGTGCTTGACCCAAAAATTGTTGAATATCATTCTTCCATACAATAAAACTTCATCATTATGGATGATAAAACTCTGTTAAAGAATAGACTACTGAAACTGTTCTCATCACCTGAACCAGAGTTCGTATTGGCCTTGTCATTGTATTTTTAGAGCCTACGGTGCAAAATCACACCTAAACAATATGAATAATAAGTTGAAATACCATAGCATGTTTTTCTTAAGCAAGAATGGATCAATATCAATATTTGATACATTGATGAGATGTGGTCACAAGTGAAATGTCAAAAGGACTTGGCTATATAAATATTAGAATCAACATAACAATAAATTGAAGCTCCTCTTGTGGAAGGTTGCTAGGTGAAAGATGCACTGGTATTTTTGAGAAATGGAAACTTTCATTAAAAGAAGGGAAGGAAAGATGCACTGGTATTACTTGAATAGTTCCACATGGATATCATATTAATGTTGGATGCTTTAATTTAGTTGTAGATGATCAGATGATGTATCAGAGTCATGTCCTATCTAGGTATTGAAAGTGTCAGATGATTAACAAGTAAAATTAAAGAGTAATTTGTTCATACGATTGTATGAAATAATAACCATACAAATAGAAAATCTTTGAAGGATAGGTTATTTACAGTTTTACACAGCTCAAAGTTTCAACTAAAACCAACCATGCTATATTTAGTTTGACAGTTTTAAAATTTGAATCCTATCCAGATATTGGTAACATTACATCTTTTGTCTTCATAAGCTTTAGATTCATAATAAACATTATAACCAAGTCAAAGCTTGTTCTTCAAGGGTATCTAGAATAACAATTTCATGTATCCTGTGATTTCCCCACTCATCTATGCTCTTGCTTTAGGAGCATTATGTTTTTATAATGATTACTTTTACCTCTATCTCTATCTCGGATACCAAAATACTCACATAGGCATATCATATGTTTTGAGTCACTCATACATGGCTCTGAGTGATCTTCCTCTATCTTTCTTCAGGTTGTTGGAAAAAAGTATGTAAGGCTTTATCCTGCTTCGATATCAGAGGATCTTTATCCTTACAGTGAATCTATGCTTAGCAATTCCAGCCAGGTAGCTTGTCTTCCAAGTCTCTCTTGCTTAAAAAAAGTTCATTTGAGACAAGTTAATCTGGTATTTTGGTCATCTACCTGGTTCCTTACGACAACACCTTTGGAAGCAAGCCCTGTATTGACTATTGTTTACCACCTTTATCTTTTATTTTTACTGAGAATGTTCCCCTGTTTGCTAGATTTAATGCATTTTTTCAAAGTATTTTTATGATTTATCATTGATATCTGAGAACACTGGGTCAGAGATATCAATGCTAACTTTGAAAGAGAGGTGAAAAGGTTAAGACCTGAGAAATTCGAATTTGGATGCAAAGGATCATCATTTCTGGTGCCACTGATTTTTAATGCTTCATCAATGCATCTCCTAATTGGTGGTTTCTGAGTTCTATGCCATTTCTTTCTCATGTAGAGAATGCCAATCTTTTCTTTCAGTGCACTGTATATGTTCAAGTTTTGGATCCCTTGATTGATATGTTATGTGTATGCCTGTATGGAATAATTATATATCTTTCTTCTTTGGGTTTCAATGGGTACCTGATTGCCTGGATATCCAACGCAGGTGGCCCCAGTCAGGTCTGGGTTTGCAAACATTAGTCCTGGGTGGATACCTGCTAAACTAATGATATGTGAATCTTGAAATTTATAGAGAATCAACATTTTCCTCTAACTTTTAATTGTATTTGTGCAATTAATTTGGTATGGTCTGTTAGTCGTGTTTTTTGGTGGATTAGGTCCAGTATCCAATTGACCATAACTTGAATTGGCATATCTAGTATAGTTTTTGGGTCTGGATATGCATATACCTTGTCTAGATTTGACTTGTTGGTACCTTTTTTATTTTTTTGATAAATGTACCTCTACTCTTTCTACACCACTTGGATAAGGCATAAGGTAATGCAAGCAACAATAACCAATTAAAATATTTGTAATCAACTATTTTAAATAGGGAAAAGATTCTTAAATGGGTCAAGTAGGGAACTTTGTGCATAACATGTTACACTTGCCTTGCGAAGGGATGTCATCGGCAATCCAAACTGTCAACCAAGTAGGGAACCCTAGGGATTCGTCACCTCTGCAAATTTTCAATCCTTATCAGAACCTCATTGTACAGACCTTGATATTTTGTTATACTATTAATTGAAATATACCTTACCTTCTTAAAAAAAGTATACTTCATAAGTAATATTGGACCTTGAAAATTCCATTTTTTAAATATTAATTTGCCTGAAAAAAGTGATTTATTTTGGCCACATACCAAGGGTTTTGGGATCAAATTATCCCTGTTAATTTGGGATCCAGATCAATTTGCCACATGAAAGATGTCTTGGTTGCTCAATCTTCATTTAATGACCTGACTAGCAGACCTGCTCCCATTAAATTGTCTTTTATTGCAGATATACTTATAGATTTGATAAACAGCATATTTCCTAAATATTAAGTTGGTTGTTTGCGTGTCTATATGTTTTTGACATGGGTAGTGTGTTTATTTTTTGTCTTTCTGTAATTAGTACATGCTTCAGATATTGTAGGAAAAGTGACTATGTTTCACATAGTGTGTTCACCTTGGTGTAATGGTAAAATCTTGCACTTGCAAGTCTGAGAAGCAGGTTCGAATCTGTGCCACTTCTTGGAAAAATGCCAGAGGTTACAACTGTATCCAGTTTACCCCTCCCAAGACCTCAGATGGCTAGGACCAACTTTGGGTAATGGTCTTTTTTTTTGTTTAATTTTCCAATATTTTCCTCAACCCAATTCAACCTTAATCTCCATTTGGGATTGGCTGCTCAAATCCTATCCCACCATTTTGCTCTATCAAGAACCATGTTTGCTGTCAAATTACAGGTCCTTAATTGTTTTCAATCACTTGAAATTATGCATTCTTTGGTTTTCCCTTTGCTCTTTGGGCCCTTGCATCAATTCACTCGTTACTGATGTATTCATGCATCAGTAATATACATTATATGAAGAATAGGCATGAGAAAACCATATCAGTTGTCTACTAAGGGAAGAATAGGCATGTATGTTTGTATAATTGTAATATAGATGAACATATTAATACCAAAAAAAGTATATACATGAACATACAAGCATTAGTTAAAGGCTCACCCAATGTTGGTTCCAGTGGGAGGGGTAGATTGGAAAAGGTCCAAACTTTTGGCCTTCTTTTTGCAATATATGTCAACATACAAGCAAAACAACAAATATTGAAGCTTTTGGGTTTCAAATATGATTTCATTTCACTTTTGATAAACCTATGAGTTTCAAATGTTATTTCATTTTATATTTATTTAATGCATGTAAGCTAGGTTTTGAATTTTTTTTTGATTGGTTAAGTTACGTTTTGAATTTCAATATTGATTTAATGAGACACTATTTATTTTTGTGCTTAAACTATTGAAAATTATTTTTGAAACTATATCTTATTTTTCTAAACAAAACAAAACTATATATTGTTTTGAATCCAAAATAATCTTTCAATTTACCTTTTGTTTCTAATGGTTTAATTCATCTTGGTTAGCTTTTACAGCATGGGAACCTTGTCAGTCTATCTTGGTTCTTGTCTTCTTTCAGTAACCAACCAAAATATGGACCTGAGCCTAATACAGTTTGCCCATAAATGGAAATAGATTTGCTCCTCAGATTTAAAGTATCCTATATGAAGTTGGGGTTATACAATAAACCAACTAACGTTGTGGGAACTAAAAATCCCATGGGAAGTACACTGATCTGTCATCAACTGCAGGGTCATCTCCATTCTGTCTTTTGCTAGAACTAGTGTGGATTTTTGACTTGGTGGATAGGGTTGCTCCTGTTAATTCTTTTGATGTGGTTCTCAAAGAATTGCTTTCTCAAATTTTCTTGTATGGTTTTGCTGCATGTCAGTGTTTGTTGACTTTTGTTTCATTTCTCATTGATGTCTTTGTTCCAGCTTAAGCATGAGGCTCCTGTTTCACCACCTGCTTTACATGTTTAGACCTTGAAGAACTTGATTTTGATAGCATATGTGTATGGGAAGTTAATAACTCACTCACTGCAACAAAACCTTAAATGATATATATTTTTCTATTCCCCTTTCTCTTTTCAGGTAGATCTTGACAATCTAGATGAGAAAGAGTTCCCAAAGGTTCAAGGCTTGGATTTTGTGGACTGCATTTTAGAAGAAGGTGAAATGCTTTATATTCCTCCAAAATGGTGGCATTATGTAAGATCTTTGACAACAAGTTTCTCTGTTAGCTTTTGGTGGAGCGATGGCTGCAACTCTCCAGGCTCCTGATTGCTTATCTATCTCATTTTGGTTTGTGTTCTAGCAACACAGCTGTCCTCAATTGAATAAATAGTGCTCTTCTTGTTGGGGGACCCCATCATGTTGATGCTCCCATTTGTCCTGTATATATCCTTCAGTTAAACTTAGTTTGCCTCGATCAGAAGGGAATTTTCTTTGGCAAATTTCTTGTTTTGGATAGTTTCGCGAAAAGGTCGCATGGTTGGCACCGTCTGTTTTTCATCAGGGGGCCATCTATCCGATACGATTTACATATAGAATTCCTTCTCTTTCCCCTATATTTTACACTTCCCATCCTCCATTTTCATGGTGATTCTGTTGGGGATAAGATGTATTTAAAGCAGTAACCCAAGATGCTAGTTTGATGAAGTAGCGTCTCCTTGAATTTCCTTTTGTTAGTTTATCTCCGCGACTAGCATTCACCGGATCACAGGGTTGCTCGACTCTTGAAAAAATGGAGGAAAAAAAGAAACAAGGAGCATACGACCTTGAGGCATGATCATGGTTGTGGTCTGTTAATTCTGTCATAGTTTAGTTTTATTGACTTGTATGATGGCAGTTAAAATATTGTGCATGATTTTCCACATATTAGGTCCATGGAGGCTGTAAATCTTAAAACCAAAAAAAGAAACCAAAATATTAAAGCTACAATCCCAAGGCTATGAGACGCGTTCATTTCAAGCTTTACCCATCATTAGTCAAATGTTAGCCCAGAAAGCTTCATCATGAATTTGTTCCGTTCTGTCTACTATCTGTATTTTTTGTGTAATCTATTAACAAGTTAGATATGGGACTTCGTAGAATCGTAGGGCAATGACTTTCCTTGAGGCTTTATTTGTTTTCATACTCCCAGAATTGCTGACATTGTCCTTTTTTGCGATGTCGTTTGAGGTTTCAAATGGAGCGGAGGATGGCTTGTTTAAAAGGTATTTTTGGATAAAAAGTTGTGAGATCATGCCCTTCCATTGTTTAATGAAACACTTGACCATTCCCAAATGTCTTAATTAATACGATGAAGTACAGGAGGTGTCTTGATAAATCAACCAAAATATTACTTACACATCAGGATTCTTTTATCAATTATTAATTCAAGTTGACCTATGCTATGATATTTGCAAAGAGGGTTGGGAAGAGAGTCTATAGGGGATTAGGGGGAGGGTTTTTGGGTTGAGTTTTATTTGTGAATAGATATTAAACTACTTTATCCTCATATTAGGTTCTATTCTTTTGTAAGCTGGGTGGGTATGGCAACGAGTCTGACTGCTGTTTTAGAAAATTTCTCACACCTGCTTCCTAAAATATTAAACTGGATGGTGGGTAGGGCAATGGTTTGATAGCTGTTTTAGAAATTTTCTCACACCTGCTTCCTAAAATATTAAGCTGGGTGATGGGTAGGGCAATGATTCTGACGGCTGTTCTAAAAAATATTCCTGCCTTATCCTTTAAATCATACAATGTAGCAGTATTTGTTGAATCTTAAGACAAGAGAGTATTTGTTGAGTGCTTACTCATTGTTCTTACAAGGGTTTACCTACTACTTCAGGAACAGGTCACAATGGAATTGGAATCTTACCAATTCAATAGTAGCCGACGACACTATACTATAGCTAAGATGGTGTTTGTTCAGTTTTAGGGGTGGTAATTTATTTTTTCATGTTGTCAAGGTAAGATTATTTGGACACATGGGTCTATATGAATATGGCATAATTAATCATTCTGTCAAATTTTCAGACATGAATATGATCACATTAACCCATTTATTTCAATACTAATGACATGTATAATCTGAACTGATATGAAACCAACATGATTAGCTTGTTTAAATTAAAGTATAAATAAATTTTAATAGTAAAATAAACATTAAAACTATAATCTATATATATATATATATATTAAGCTGAAATGTGTAAGGTTTGAGAATGAGGGAAATGGAATATAACAGTATTTTTTTGCCTTTTTTTTATAGAAATTACAAGAATACCACTCTCTACCAACTCACTCTCTCTCTCTCTTTTCTTCAAATTACAAGAATGCCACTCTCTCTCCTATCAACTCTTCTCTCTCTCTCTTACAAATTACAAGAATGCCATATCTCTCTCTCTCTCCTTTTAAATTACAAGAATGCCACCCTCTCTCCAATAGAGGGAGACCTTAGCTTGGCATCTTGGCTGCTAGGGGACCTGCATTCAAAGGTAGTCAAGTTCGAATCGAGCCGATCTCAAACTTTTGATCTCAAGCTTAAGTCTCTAATTCGAATTGACCACTGAGGGAGACATCGGCTTGGCACCTTGTCAACTAAGGGAGACCTTAGCTCGACACCTCGCCTACTAGGGAAACCTCAGCTCGACACTTTAGCAGCTGAGGGAGACATCGGTTTGGCACCTCGGTAATTGAGGAAGACCTTAGCTCAACACCTCGAATGCTTGAAAGACCTGCAATCAAAGGTAGTCAAGCTTGAACTTCTAAGCTTTTGACTCGAGCCGAGCTCAAGTTTCTAATTCGAATTGATATCGAGCTTGATTGTTTATGAGCGAGCCCTACAACGCAGGGCCCCCTCCTCTAGTATCATAATTAAATGGTATATAAAGGCCTTGATGAGAATATACTTCCTTATAGGCCATAATTGGATTGACACAAACTACATAATTTTTTGGGTCATAAATAAGTCATTTTTTGGTCGAGTGTGTCAACCTAAAATTAACACCTTTTATTGGTGACTAAATGAGTCAACACAATTTTGATACAAACACGATTTAAGCATGGCTTTGAAAATTGGACCAAAAACAGAATTGATTTGACCATTGGTTCTTAGGTCAAATGATCTGACTATCCACCCTAGTTAGACAGTGTTTTGGTTCAAAATTGGACCTGGAGCCATAACCACTTCTTGGGTCAACTGGTCCAACCATTCGATTCGATTCAATTTTCAAAACCACGGATTAAAGTTAGGGATGACAATCTCAAGGGTTAGGGATGGAGGATAACTTTTATCCCCAACAAGGATCGAAATCATAGACGAGGATTTATTTCAAAATCAGGGTCATGGATAGGGAATATGATCCCTACCTTGTTGCACTTTACATATTTGTATTTGTAGTCCTTCCAAACGAAGCCTAAGGAAGGGTCAAGAGTGTAAATACAAATATATACAATGTAAATACAACCATATATAAGGTTTTGCACTAAACATATTTGTATTTGTACTCTTCCCTTAGCTTAGTTTAGGAGGAACATAAATACAAATGTGTACAGTGAAAAACCTTGTATTTTGTATTATTTTACAAGTATTTGTACCATACATATTTGTATTTGTATTCAAACCATTTAACTTCGGAGATTGGCTTCTAGCAGGGAAAATATGTGCCCACACCATTCTAACAACCTTTTGCAACTTTGCATTGGGAATATCTTCCCATGAAATAAAGCACACAAGTATAGAAATATTCTCAATACAAGGCAGTAAAAATTGTCCGAATGGGCTTTGCCTTGACTTTAGCCGAACTCTTAACTTTGTATCCTTAATTTCTCACACTATTAATTGAATGAATATTTAAATTATCATTAAGGGATTTTTATTAATTCCCCTGCCTAATAAATAGGCCTGTAAACGAATCAAATTCAAATTGAATTAGGCTAGATTCGAATCCGAAGTCGATTATAAAAAACAATGTTCGAATTCGATTCGATATCCGACGAATATCGAATGTTTCAATTCGAATTCAAGTTTGATTATTAAATTGAATATTCGAATCGATTCGAATTCGACCGGCATGAGGCCTAGAATCTTAAATGATTGAGTTTGCAAAGGAAAGCAAGTGATTAACTTGAGAAAAGAGGCAAGGGATTGACGGCAACAGTTGTGGGTTCCCGGCGATGGGCCAAGTGTGAGTGTGTGACAGTAGTAGTTGTGGGTTCCTAGCGGTGCAAATGTGATGGTAGTGACTAGTGAGCAATGTTAGTTGGTGATGTTGGACAATTGAGGGCCTTGAGGCGTTGAGCTTGAGCTTGAACTTGAGCAGTGACGAAGGAGATGGTAGTGGCCGGTGACCAGTGCTCGACTACTATCACTGATGCTGACGTCGGTGCTCACAGCTTACAAAGATTGGAAATATAAGAAACAGAGGGAGAAAGAAAGAGAAGAAGAGTGTGAATAGAAAAGACGGAAGGAGAGAGAAGAAGAAAAATGAAATTAAAACTTAAAAGAGGGAGAGGAAAGGACGAAGATGTCAACAACTTTTTTTTATGATGGACATGACCCCTCTTTAAAACTTTAAGTTTAAATTGATATAAATCTTATATTTTATTATATTTATTGTTAATATATATTAAATATATATAATTAATCAAATTTGAATTTTAATTGAATAGATCAATAGGAATTCGATAAATTAATTGATAAAATGTATGAATCCGAATTCCACTATTAAATTTATGGAACCATTGGAACGTCGAATATCGAATTAGGAATCGAATAATCGGATACCGTTTACACCAAATTGTTATTGATTTGCACCGGCAAAGATGAAAGAATAATAGAATATGTTAAAATGCGATGGGGCATCCGGGCATGTTATAGGAGGTTTCTAAAATAATAATAATTTATGAGGTAGTGGCTTTTTGTTTAATGTTTACTGGAGATTTATTTATTTTGACCAGAGATTTGATTTAATTGGAATCATAGGTAATTTGATACTACTAGGAACAGAAGTCCTTCGATCCCTACACGAAAGCAACACAAGAGGCTGAGTTGGTCGGAAAAATAATTATTATGGATATAAAAACACAGAAAACAATGGAAATTTGGGGAAAATAACACATTAAACATTCTTCACACACTCGAACCGTTGCTCAGTTCCTTCTTCGTCTTCTTCGCAGCGTGTGCCATGGCAATAAATTCATCCAGAGCTTTGACAGAAGAACCCTTGTATCCTTCCTCGTATCTAATGGCGTCCTTTATCAGCTCCTTCACAACACGGGCCTTCCTTCTCATCTCTGCTCCTTTTGTCTCACTACCCATCACCGACTCAATCACGCTTCTTATGTGCTCGCTTCTGACCTCACACTCGTTCCCCCTAGAAACCTCAACGCAAACGCCAACTTCCTCCTCCAAAAATTTCGTGTTGTAAAACTGATCGGCGGCGATCGGCCACCCGATGATTGGCACGCCATGGCTCAAGCTTTCCGTCACCGAATTCCAACCGCAGTGGCTCAGAAAGGCAGAGGTAGACCTGTGAGAAAGAATATCCACCTGGGGTGCCCATTTACGTACCAATAATCCTCTGTTTTGCGCTTTTATTCGTTTCTCGAATCCTTCCGGCAACCAGTCATCTGCCCTGAATTCAGAGTTTGTGTCAAATCCCACCGGAGGCCTAACGACCCATATAAAATTCCTGCCGCTTGCCTCCAAAGCAATAGCCAATTCCGTCATTTGTGAAGCAGAGATTGTGTTCTGAGAACCGAAGCAGACGTAAAGAACAGAATCTGGAGGCTGCATATCGAGCCACTCGATACATTGATTCGGGGTGGTTCCGGCGGCTTTGTCCGTACGGGTTTTGTTGGTCAAGGAAGAGGCGGTAGGCCCAATCGCCCAAACGGGGCGACCACTCACCCTTCTGAAATATTGTAAACCAGTCCGATCGAAGTCCTCCACCGTGTTAAACAAAAGCCCGTCGGATCTCAACCACAGACGAACCTGTGTCTGTATGAATCTAGACCAAGCATCAGTCCCATTAGCGTACTTGATGTTGTTTGGGAGCTGGGTGCGGTGGATAACGGAGACCTCGGGAAAATCTGGTAGCAGGAACTCGGGAGAATCCGTTTGGCAGTGAGGGAGGTGGGACCACATGGAGAAGTAGATGGCCATGCCATAAGCACCGCCAGCGTTGAAAACGGAATGAAATATACCCAGGTCGTCGGCGACCTCGGCCGACCATCCGAAAAACATGTCGGCGATAATGAAAAGAGGAGGACGACCATTTTGTTGATGGGTGATATCGGAGAGGAGGCGTTTGAAAGAGGGTTTGAGAGAGAGACTAGCTTCTAAGAGGCGAACGATGAGTGGATAAGGAAGGACATCGGTGTTCTCGGAGTCGGGTGGGAGGCCATGATCGGCGCTGCAGAAAGGAAGCTCGGCAAAGCGGATGGTGGTGTTGGAAGGGAGGGATGAGCGGAGTTTTTTGATGTTGAGTGGGGTGTTGACGTAGGTCACAGTGTAGCCTGTTCTCTCTTGTATCCGGTGAGCAAGCGCCAAGAAGGGGATTAGATGGCCTTGAGCCATGAATGGAAACAGAACAACATTATTTTCCCTTTCAGTCATTTGGTCTCTGAGAGAGAGAGAGGACTTGACCTAGACCGATGCCCTGGAAAGAAGAGAAAATCCAAATATCCAATCTCTCTCTCTCTCTAGTGTTAGAAATAGAAAGATTTGGCCACCGAAGTAAAGAGGGAATCTAATCCGACGCATCTACTGACGTATGTCATGAGTAGGTTGGCAAAGTAATTTTGAAATGTAAGGGCAGCAGGGTCAAGTGGTCAACACTAGATCTGTTAATGGGCCGGATAGCCCGACGGGCCGGGCCGGCCTGGCCCGACCCCCGAGCGGGTTTGTGCATGAACTTTAGTTCGCGGGCTTGACCTCGGGCTTCCCGAGCCCGAATATTTTACGGGCCGGGCTCGGGATTTGTCACAAAAGCTCGGCCTGGCCCGACATTTTGTATTTTATCGTAAACCCTAGTCGATTAACCTTTCATATTCCCTCTTTTCATCTTTTATCTTTCTCTCCTCATTCTCACTCTCAATAACCGGCGCGAATCCAAGCAAGCAGCCACTGTTCACAGTCTTAGAGGTGAGTCCTCTCTCTCTCTCTCTCTCTCAATTCTCACTCGTAGGCACTCGCATATTCTTAGGATTCAGGAACCGACGAACTCAGGCACCGGCGCCAGCCGCGCCACTAGTGAACTCAGGCGCCCCTCTCTCTGGCGGTGAATCTTCTCTCTCTCTCCACCATTCCTCTCTCTCTTGTCTCTCTCGCAGTTCTCATTCTCATGCATTATTACATATTCTCAGGAACCAGTGAACTCAAGCATCGCGATGGCGAACTCAGGCACCGACGCCAGCTGCACCACCAGTGAACTCAGTCGCCTTGCATTTCAGCCTCTGTTAGGTTGGGCTTCGGGCTTGGGCCCGGGCTTTAAGCTTTTTATGAGGGCCGGGCTCGGACTCGGGCTCGGGCCTAAATAAATCTTGTTAATGAAAAGCAAAAGCCCGGCCCAGCCCGGCCCATGAACACGTCTACTCAACACCCTCCACATCTTCTCTCGTCTCACTTTTCGCGTTTGATAACATTTTGCTTTTCATACGTTATATACGTGTGTATTTAGCATACCAATTACCATGTCTGTCCACACCTAAATAAATTGGAAAAGTACAGACATGCACAATATGCAGATTTCGACCTATAAACATTCAAAATGTCAAAAGTCCCCCATTCTATACATCAATGCCCGACAGTGAATTGACATCAATCCCGAGATACTTTGTATAAAAATTCTGATTATGGACTGAACCGTCATTTATCTAATTAATAAAAATAATAATAATAAATATTATTATTAAAATAATAATATTATTTCATTATTTAAAGAATTAATAGTATTTAGTAATAATACAAAATAATATACTTAATAATAATAATTAAAATGTTTTTATTTATTAGTTAATAATGGCAAATAAATAATATTATTAATTGAATAATAAATAATTATTTATTTCAATAAATCATAGTATTTGTTTATTAATTTAATAATATTTTTATTTCATATTCTTTTTAATACTATTTGTATTATTTATAATAGGGTTTAATAATATATTATCAAACAATTTATTTCTAAGAGTAATCAAAAAGCAGAAAATCAAGTATACTTCTTTTCAAATTTTAGATCCAAATAATAGCTTATTTATTTGCAGTCATGCATTGGTCATTCATGGGAATCAAATAGGGTTTAATAATATATTATCAAACAATTCCCAATCTATGGTTATAAGAGTTGTGAGGACATTATGAGAATCAAATTTGTGAAGATAAAATCCGGGTTCATTAGTTTACCGTAATTAGACTCATTTTCAGAAGTTGGAGAATCACTTCAACTCAAACAATCTTAATTTTTTAGACATTAAAAGGCAAAAAATAATCTTTGCTTCGTTTCAGATTTTAAATTCGAATAATAGTTTTTTGTCAGACATCAAACTTCAAGGTTTTCAAATGCCACCTAAGTTTTGGCACAAAAGAAGGTTAGAATCGTATAGGAGGTGATCATAAGCTGACCACACTGCGTCATATCTAAGCTCAAGTCTTATATAGGCTCCTTGCTTACAACTTAAATCTTGTTTTTTTGAATATATATAAGATAAAAATATGTAATAACTAAATTCATATATACCTATATACCATGGTTTTGAAAACTAGATTGAACTGGGTGGTCGAACCATGACCCATGTCTAGTTTTGGACCCAAAAACTATCTGCCCAAGCTTTGCATTGGACGATTGTACTGTTTGACCCAAGAATAGTGGTTTCATTTTTGGGCCAGTTTTTATATAATGGTGAAATATTGAATTTATATATATTATATAAAACCCATTTTTATAAATGCAAAATCTACAGCGCATTTGATATATGGCGAACATGACGATAAGTATATTTTATTAAATATGAAATTAAATTTTGTGAAACTTAAATTAATGAAAAATAAGCAACTATGATTGACTGAAATCTAAATTTAACATATATGTTATACAATTTGAAGCTATCCTATATATGTAAATGATCATTCAAATCTGAGATAAGTGGATTAAATTTTGGAATTCATAGACAGCCCCAAGTAGATGCATGGATTGTTGGAATGGCTAGCTCATCATCATCTTCACCATGGTAGGTGATCCGTGTTCAGTCAAATGCATTTTTTATCAGATGATCCAAGCTTTGAAAGTTAGAAACCAAGACCAACTTGGTAGCCTCCGAAGGAGTTTAAGCTGGCGAGACTTTCCAAGGGAAAGGTTCTGATGTTGCATGGATGAACCAGAATCAGAATATATCCAAAGCATTCAGATAATGTTAAACCACATTCAAGAATTTGCAATATTTCACCATTTCCCCCTTCTATACCCTATTTTGCTTCATTTAAGCCGACCAAACTTGGAAATCTGACTTGTTTTCTCTTGTTGTTTCTTCCTCCAACCTACTCTAATTTTATTTCTCCATCCAAAGGGGCAGGTCTAGACATGGCAATTGGGTTGGATGGGTTGGGTTAAGATACTTCAGGTTGATTTTGGGGTCGGGTTGAATTTTAGGTTAAGTTGTAAAATGTTAGATCCTGACCCTAAGTGTTCGGGTTAGGGTTGACCCATGGGTCAATTTGGGTTATTCTCAAAAAACCAAAATTAAAAAAACCTATGAAAGTTGTCAAAATTAAAGGAATTAACTTTAAAATTTTAAATATAAATAATAGAACTTGAACATTTAATAATTCAAAGAGTAAACAATAAAAAGTAAAGACTAAATAGTAAAAATTAAAGAGTGAAAACTTCTAACAATGCATAAATAGTCCCAACTAGACCTAACATTAACGGGTTGACCCATGACCCAACTCAACCCAACCCAATTTTTTCTAGATTGGGTTGAGTTGGGTCAGGTCATTCTCAAATCTAGGTAGCTAAATATGAGACCCTAACCTTGCTTTTTTGGGTTGGTTCAGGTTTGATTCACGGGTTAGATCAACTTTTTGTCAGGTCTAGGCAGATAAGAAGAGGTAAGCCAATTTTCATCTGTCTTTGCAGAAATTTCCATCTCCATCCTTGTTTCCACTCCCCCAATGGAAACAGGGTTTTTCCAATTCCTCTCTCAATGGGTTCTCCACTCCTTCAATTTTTTTATTTATATTTCATTTAATTTTTTAAATAAAACAATTATAATTTATAATCCTATTAATTTAATAAAAAGGGTACGATTATGATATCAGAATTCGGAAAGATATGGCATCCGAAAAACTTCTGACCAATGAATTGAAATTATAAAAGTGGTAATTAGTCTGGTGGGTGGATTTTGTTGATCAAAACTCTTCCTATACTGTGTCTTTACCACATCATAGATTTTACCATGGACCACACGTGTGGAGAGTATGTCTCTAAGACTATGTTCTGTTTGAAGGAAAATGTAGGAAAAGGAAGAGAAACACAGGAAAACCTATAGAAGGTTTGTAAAGGTTTTCCTACATTTCTCTTCATTTCCCTACTTTTTCCTTCAAACCAAACACAACATAAAAGTAACTTACCAGTTACCACGCAAAGACCCTTCAAATTGAGTTGTCACCTCACTTTGATCAAAGACCTCTCTTGTACTATGGAGTCAGTGACAAAGTCCCCCCTGTACTTTTTTTTTGTGACAAAATCCCCCCTAAACTGTAGCCTAGACAAAGACCACTATTAAGTCAGATAACGAAAAAGTATTAAATTATCAAAATACCCTTCTAAACTTTTTTTTTTTTCTCTTAAAATCAACCGAAAACTGTCCGATTAACGCATTGGTCCGATCATGGTAGGAGAAAAATAAAGTCCAACTCAACTTTGTTTAAACTTTAAACTTGGTTGTATAAAACCCAAAACACCATACACAGTAATAAGATAAAGTCCGACATGCATTTTTATGGTCATCTTAGTGTTAGAAAGATAATAAAACTATAAAAGAGTCGTCGAAAGTTGTTTATTACCATTATTCCTTACGATTTACAACTGCCAGCTTATTTCCTGGGTTTTTTTTTTTATGAATGAAATTGCTATTTTCACTGTGTTTCTAAAAAAAGGCTTATCTTCCAGGATACTGTATATTTTTAAAGGCATTCGGGTTTGTATTTCGAACTGAAAGTGGAAAAGCACAGGAACCCATCAAGGCTCTCTCTCTCTCTTTACCTCAGAAGTGTGGCATCTTCGGAGCGCAGAAACTGAACCTCCAATTGGCACAAAGCTGACAACCCGCAGTGGTAGAGAATCTTTTTGGATCTGTGAGAAAGAAGAAAGAAAGAACAAAAATCCGGCAATTTTTTCCTTTTCTTGTTCAAAATTGAATTGAGGAACCAAGATAGATTCCAACTTTCAGAGTTTCAAGAGGCTGGTTTGAGAGGGGAGAAGAGAGAGAGAGAGAGAGGAAAAGCCAAGCCAGAGCTTTCAAGTCTTCAACCAGAAGAGACACCAGTTCAAGGTCACTATTGCCAGCTAGATGTGCGTTGCCAGAGAAGGAAGAGAGAAAGAGAACAGGTGAGAACCAATTTAATTACAGTCTCCAAAATTAAATCCTCATTCACCATTGCGATTTGCGAGCAACCGAAGAATCACGTTCTTCCCCTACTCCTCTTTCTATAAAGCATTAAACTGCCATTTATTACCGCCTACCCAACTACCACAAAATTCACAAGCAACTGCGCAGGAACAAAGACCACAACTCTTTTTCCCTTCCAGTTGTCTTGTCTGACTCTTGACCCACCCAAGAACTTTTCCATCCAATGTTTCAAAGATGGGTTAACACGTTTTTTTCTTTTTTTATTAATCTTTGTTTCTATTCTACTATTTTTTCCTTTTTTTATCAAGAATTGGGGTTCTGAGTTTCTAAAATTCTTGCCGCTAAACTCTGTCCTTATTAGTTGTTTGACAAAGCACAGGGAGGGTGGAGAAAGAAAGTCAAAAA